GTCTATTTCTGCCCCTGGCAACCAATATTTAATCACAGCTGTAGGACCTGTCTTGTTTGAATTACCTCAGGCAACCTGATTTCATCCTAATTATCAAATCAATTTCAGTAATATAACCATTTTGTTCAACTTAAAAATGAAACAGTTCTTTTGTTTACTAAACAAGAAAGATTTATTGATAAACATTGAGGTTTTCATTGGTAACTTGTGTTCTTAATATCGACAATTACAATACAGGATTTAATTGAAAAATTAGCCAATCTGTATGTATTGATTTTGGGCTTTGTTGCTTGGGACAACCTTCCATTCTAAACTTGTTGCTCTAACATTTGATTATTAGTGACTGCAATTTATTTAGAATTGTGGGTTGATAGAGAAATGACAAGAATTAAATGTATGGGTTTCTGTAAAAATGATTGTAGACATTATGAAAAAACAAAAGAATGTATTAAGCCTTCATCTAGTAATAAATATACTCAGAATAATATTTCAAATGATATTTGTAACAGTGAGAAAAATTAAATGATGTTACACTTGAGAGAATTTTAAACATTGAATTAAATGTTGTTGCATCAAGTGACAGTATTTGAAATATTGCAACTGCAATATGAACAATTTTTCTGGAATAATATAGATTCCTATTTTTACCATGTATACAAAAGAGGAGACATTTTGTATCTGTATCTTCTTTTAAAACACAGTTGATTGAAATTTAATGAAAATTTCAGAGACTCTATCTTACTTAATTCCATTCTACACCTTTTGATGTTAGTTTCATCAAAAGGATTTTTGGACTTCCCTGTAACAATGGTAACAAAACACTGCCTTATTCATACAAATTGAGGGGAGAGACATGGATATGAATTTGTTTGCTGTACTTACATCAATTCTTCTTTGGTCTATTAAATCGGTGGAAATACACAATTGTTTCATTTTATTTGATAATGTATGGCATTCATTTAAAAAGACAGAATATAATTTTATTTTGCTCTTGTTAAAAGAATAGATTTTAAAATGATTGGAGGCAATAGATCTCTTGTACCATAGTCAACATTGTTATGTATACATTGGATGTCCTTTTATTTTATTGGTACCAGTTGGGGGGAAAATCAACTGTTAAGATAATAAAAAAAAAAATCACACAAAAAGCAAAGGAACAGCGCTTTATTTGCTGTTCTTCATCTGAATGTCACAGTGAGAGTTAATATGTTATATAACTGTGCAAGACAGAACAAATGTATCATGTAGTATTGTTGGCATTAAGTGTTGTCTGTACTCTTAGCTATAATATTTCATCCTTCAGACTAGTATGTACGCCTTGGTTCATTTAGTTTATTAGGAATATTGGTCCTAGTGTCTGATCACTTTTACAAAAGGTTTGCTTTCATATTTTGAAAGCTATGAGATGTTATGGATGTTTAAAAGACTCCATTTTAAATGTTGCTTTTTTACCTACAGTTTGTTCTGATCAGTTTTTCTTAAACTATTCTTAGTTATTAAGAATTATGGTAAATGCTATATGTTTGATTTTAAAGAACTGTAGCTTTTGATGTTGATTTTCTATCTGAAATGACATTTGCCTTCTTCTGGTTTTACTCAAAATGCAACGTCAGTATAAAAAGACAATCTCAAGTTCATATACATAATTTATTGTGGTAATTTGATTTCTGATTTCCACACTAGAGAAACTGATTTCTGTAAACTTGATACTTATGATAATATGAAATATCAGAATATTTTTCCTATAGAAAGAAGTAAGCATACAGTGAATTCATGATTTTGCTGTATGTTTTGTTATCATTTTCATCTGTATAAACAGTTTTGTTTAGAATGCTAAGAAAAATGAATTATCTAAAAGAAATGAGTAAGTAATTTAAGTGTCATTCTCAACTTTGAAAAATAACTAAAATGGCATGTTGCCTTTCTACTTGATTGAGTTAATTGAAGATTTATCGTTTCCAAAGGTTGAACAAAAAAATTTAGAAAATGGTTCTCTTTACTGAAAAAGCAATTTTCATACATTAGCTTTATAGCAGGCATTTATGTCTTTAAAAAGCCTCTGACATTTGATCGCTGGGTTTGATTTCAAAAAGCTTTAGACTTTAAGTTTCTACAGGAAATTCTATCGACAGCACTGATAACTTTTATGTTTAGAAAATCAATGGGATCCTTCTGATGCAATTTACGGGGACAAAGCAAGTTGATGAACCTACAATTTTTCCCCAAACAAAAACTAAAGAACGGTATTTTTCCAATACAATAAATTCACATTATATGCCAGTATAATTCACATTATAACTTTCACATTGCTGGCTGTGGAAGTTTCTCCAAGGCACATTTTAAGTGATGGTAATTATGTGTTTATATTTATTCTGCAATCAAGATTTAACTGTACACTGTGAATGGAACCAACAATAGAAACATATCTCGACACGACAGCGATTTAATGAGCCAGGTCCTAATGTGAGAGGAAATTAATGTAGAATTGGTCAATGTATAGCTTTATTGAGATTTTTGTGATTTTTATTCATGCAAGTGTCTAACCTCTAATCAATAAAATGGCTATCAGAATGATTAGATACGGAATAATGTTTTTCTATATAGTGCCAGGCACAGTCGTTTATAATGGTTTCAATGAAGAAAATAATGCATTCATTTATTTAGATTGTTTTAGAATTTTTCAATCCCCTTCTTCATATTTGTTACTTTGAGAAAATACGATATGTTTATAACTGTATCAATATATATAAGCCCTATAACATTTCATTTGTTGAAGAACAGTTTTAAAAGACAAATTGACAGTTGCGATAGAATATGCAAGATATTTAAAAAAAAAAAAAAAAAATAACTTGAAGAAACTTTCAAGTTGACCTTTGATGTTGATGTTATAATAAGAAAGATATTTGAATGTAGAATGAAGGTCTTTCGCCAACTTGAATTGTAAAATAGCGATAACAATCATTCTAGATCTTTAATGAATTATGCAAATTTTGTAATCGGAATGCAATTCATTTGTTACAAGACTTCATATAAATGAAAACAATTATGTGATTTATTCATTAGTACAGCTGTTTTTACAAATACAGAATATATTTTGTTTTATTAAATTTTCGTTAAACATAGCCATATAAGGGAAGATAACTCAGATAATTTTATTTTATAAAGGACTATACAGTAAATTTACCTATTTTTGTATTGCAGAAATTATGATTTTGGTGAATCCAATTTTTATTTTTACTTCCTGAAAGCACCTTATAAGAGCTATCTTTTCATATTTTATTTCAAAATTCTACTTTTTTCCCCTACTATTTTCACAAACATTTTGCACAGCCTTTGGCTTGAAAAAAGCTCAGTAACTTTTATTTTTTTTTATATTTTTGAAAGTAGCATAATATTAACTACATTTTGGCAAAGTATATGTATTAACAAATTATATCATTTTTGATATAGCTGTCAACGATAAGTACAATGGATCTTAATTCTGATTGTACTGGTTCATTGTATTCATATTCCTGAATGAAATATGTCTTGATCAACTCTCAGATAATGAACAGATTAAAACACTTGATTTAAAAATGCCATTGTGGGAAACTTAACAGGGAAATGTGAAAGTGTAAGTAGAGCATAGTGGCCTTTGGACCCATATCTTGTTTTATCTACTGTTTTTGGTAAACCCATGTATGATTATACATTGTATCAGTTTGGTTTGTGCTTGACTAATTCAAGTTTTTTCTTAAAGTTTTTTAGTGTTCAAATTATCAAGTTAGGTCTTTTGAAAGAAAATTTTTCATGCTCAAAATCGCATACACTATGAATTAAATATTTTTCCTTAAGCAATTCTTTTTTGGTAGAAAACCAAATCTAAACCAAAGTTGATATGCTTCAGCCAGTCATTTTACTTTCATTAATTCACATCATCTTCATCCTAGATGATTGACTAACCAAGCAGTAAGACAATCTGGAGTGCGTAGAATGTAATACTAGATTGAATTATAACTCCTAGTTTCTTCCCTGCAGCACCACGGAAAATAGCGATTAACATTGACAAACATGAATGTTGTAATATGTGGTTGCTCTTCTACATATTCTTTATAACTTCCAGCTCATCAACATTAGTTAATTGCAATTTGCATGGTTTCCAAGGTGAAAGAAGAACCTTAGGTGAATTGATCCACACTGTGAAAACTTTGTGTTTTTGTAAATCGTTGAAATTATTATGTATGTTTTTTGAAACACGTCATATCAGAGGATTTTTTGTAAATGGTTGAAATTATTATGCATGTTTTTTGAAACACGTCATATCAGAGGATTTTTTGTAAATGGTTGAAATTATTATGCATGTTTTTTGAAACACGTCATATCAGAGGAATTTTTTTCTTGAGGTTATTTCATGTATGTAAAACTAGATGCATTTACTATTATATAAGTCCTAAACTTGAAAGGTCAAAGTAGTTTGATTTCATTATTTTATTGTGATATAAAGATAAATAATATGTCATCTACATTTTAAAATTTGATACAAATGATTTAAGGACTAAAAAGTGCTGTGTTTCTAAAACAAATAATGCCGTTGATGACCATGTATATAAATAATGATTCATAATAAAAAAAAACTTAATAAATTGTATTGAATGCAAATTAGGGAAGAGGACTCTCTAAAAGAATGCACTATCTGCAAATATTATCCATAGAAATTTAAAAACTCATTTGAAAAATGTATACCTTATTCTTCATTTTTGTTATCAATATAAACCATATATTTATTTTTTCAATAAATATATATTAAAGTACTTATGAGGAGATAATTTAAGATTCTCCCAATTTATTAATACAGTTTATTGACAGAGTACCTGTTTATTTGAACTTTGACTGTAATTGTATACAAGGAACAGTAGGACTATGATTGTTCTTGTCTCTCTCTACCACCAACTCTACTTGATTATAGATTTTTCTTGACTATACAAATATTGGCTATAACTTGATATTTTGTCCAATTGCAGTGACAGTATACATATCAGTATTGGACGATTTGCTAGCGAGAACATCTGTGTGTACATATTTGTTAGAAGTTCAACCGATATCTCTGGGATCAGGACAGAACTTAGAAGACTTTGTGTGAGTACAAACTTATTTAATTATAAGTCTCTAGGGAGTTTCCATAAAGGCTTTTACATAGTGTTGTCTTTGATGTTGTTTTGTTATTTAATGTTTGTCATTTGCACAAATAGTTTTGAATAAATGTATAGAGTGTTGTAATAAAAAAATTATTGTATGATTAGCTGGCAAATTTTTTTATAATATTAAATGATAATTATTTTGATAAATTGGTGGACAGTGAAGTGTCCAAAATAAATTAATTCTCAGTTATATATATTGATAGACAAATCTAGGTTTTTAGAAGAAAATTTGTTTTTATAAATATCATTAATGATAAATATTTTTCATTAATACAGAATCAATATAAACATTTTCTAAAATTTAATACCAGCAATTTTCTTTGTATAAATGAAAGCAATTTCATATTGATGAACACATGATTTGAAAAAAAGATACAATACTTCAAATTTCAAAATTCTTGCAAGCAAGCACTGTTAAATTCTTGACACAGTGTCAATTGATAAAAAATGTAGATGACCCTTTTGAATAGAAATAAACTTTTAAATTTATAACTGTTAATATGACAAGAAAATGTCCCATTTGTTTACTTATGATAAAATTCTTCAAAGATGAAAAGAATTGTATTTGTGTTAGATTTGTAAACTTAGAAAGTAAACTGGATCGGATTTATGGGGATCTTCAGATATCAATAAATTTCTGACTAAACTGGGGCCCATATGGGATAGGTATTTTAGAATTCACCTTGGATGACGTGTTGAGGCTCTATTAGTCATTTTATATTTTACATATATATATATATAATCTGATTCTCAAAAACTTAATTAATACTAATTTTTTTTTACTCTTTATGAATGTTTAATATTGTCATTTTGAAAATCAAGCTCACGACTTTGGCTTAAGTATGCTATTAAAATTTTTAATAAATTATAATAATGCACTCAATTTTCTATGACATATTCATTTTATATGAGGATTTTTGTCAGTTTCGAAAATTTTGCATAGTTTTCCTCAAAAAAAGATTGTAGAGTGAAGATTTGAAGTAATAAATTTTCACACGTCTTGAAAAGCATATATAACCAGCAGAGCCATTAAGATTAAGAATGCATTCTTGGTCTTAAAGTTAGCATCAACGTAAACCCTTAGTAGTTAGTATTTTTCCTTTAAAGGTCCCCAGAAGGATATTGAACAATTGATTAAACCTCTTTCATTGCAATCTAAAAAAACTATGACCTTGTTGTAGACAGTTAAGGTCACACATTATACTATCAAATTATTTCTAGTTTTCATAGATTTTTTTTTGAAGTATGGATTTTATGCTTTCATTGTGCTTTGTTTGAACTTTTATCAGTCCAGTTCATAAAATCCATGACAGAAAAAAAAATATATTTAGAATAGAATTTAAGTGTTATATTTCTTTAACAAAAGTTATTTGACAAGGACACACACCACCACTTGACAGACATACTATTTCCTTTAAAAAAAAAGTAAAATATACCCTTTTTTGTGTATATTTTATTGATCTTCGTTTGAAATCCTTTGAGCCAAATGTATGGAAAGGTAAAGATGTAAAAATCCTAGTTTGTTGTACTGGTATTTGTAAAGTATTGCTACCTTTCAAGCTTATCTGGCCATAAGTTTCCATATCTATATCAAACTTTATTTAAACTAGTGATCTTGATAACTAGATGTTCAATCGTTCCACATTTTTCAAGAAAACCAAAGTCAAACACTGGAATTGGTAGGTAAGAATATTTTTTATTGCAGTTGCTTTATAAATTATGATTTTCTATAAAAACAATAGTCAAAAATTGTTCCCCATATGTTGCATTTGAAGACATGAATTCAAACTACAACAGAAAAAAAAATGTCCAATTGGTACACGTATTGTGAAAGGGAAAAGCGTATTGTATAACCACAGTAATTTGAACTGATTGGCTTACCTGTTTGTATTGATTTGAATAGGGATTTAGTTTTGCATAATGCAGTTCATGTGACTGATGAACCATTTACACTTTTAACAGTTTTGTAGAATGGCAATAATAAATTTAAAAAGCTTTTCATTGCTGAAAAAAAACCCATTTATTTCTTGCTTCAAACTATTATTTAACCTATTGGTGTTAACAAAAAAGAAAAGAGAAATATGTTGGCCAAGCTTTGGGAAAAAGAGAGAACAGATACTCAGATTGAAATATTAATAAAAAATTCCAAGAGTTCTACACCCAAGATGCCTTAAGGATGTTTGCTCCTCTTGTTTTTGAAGTTTTGCCAGATTTTCGGAATCCTCTGGTTTTATCCATGTATTGCCATTTAAAAATTTTGCCCACTAACCCCTACTTTTCTTTTCATAATTTTATTACATATAGTTTAAAAAGCCATATTTGAAAATCTTATAAAATCCTTGTTATTTTTTCATAGTTTTTGAAACAAAAAAGCGGCCAATGTTAAAAGTATGAAAAATCTAGAGAAAATCATTTCCCGCCAAATTTTCAATGGCTTATATCTCGAAAACAAGCACACGGACCCATCATTTTTTTCTGCTTTTTTAGTTCCTTTATTTATATACTATCATTTTAGAACAGTCTTTTAAAAAGCTTGTTATTTTGAATCAGAGTAGCGATCATCCTTAAAACAAAGAGGTATTTAAAATTGAAAAATGGAGCTACATACAGTGTCAGTAGCATGAAAGTTATCATAATATTGCTTCACCTTTCTCAAATGGTTTGTGCAATAAATTAAGAGCTGCAAGGCAAAATAAAGAGTTCTCTATAAATTTCCTCCATCTGTAATTTTCTCTAGCAGTCTCAGGTGGACTATTTGATCTCTTTTGATGCTGTAATGTTGAGATAAATTTCTCCTGCAGAACAAAGTTATGTTTCAACATGCATTCCTTTTATACAAATAAATACAGAAGTTCAATGTTTCCAATGTAATATCTTGGGCTTGGTTCATTTTATTAATATCAATGTACAGACTAAAATAAACATTTTAATCAAAGAAAAAACTTTTAATAGGTTTTATAGGGAGTCTTTTGATCTTTGAAGAGATTGACCAGGTAAAAATAAGACCAGAGAATTTTATTGGTGATTAAAAGAAAACCTGCATGGAAGTCAATAAAAATTGGATGTTAACATTTCATTAAGGGGTGTCTATTTGTTCTGATGTTTAGAAACTAAGAATAATTGTACTGGAAGTGTTTGAAAGGCGCCTTGTAATTTTCAATGATTTTGCTGAAATTACAGTACAAGGCCTTGAACAGCATGAGAATAGATGCAGTGTTTAACAAAAAGATTCACAACTTTTAATGCACTGATAAAACTGTGGTCTTTATTTTGTTTAAAAATTTAGAAAATCCAAGTTGTTAAGATTTTCTTTAATGGGACTCTACTTGGTTTATATAAATTTTAGTAGATAAAACTAGACTTGTTACTAATTTTGGCAGCAAGATCTTTGCTTTTTCTTAATGTGACTTTTTTCATAGAGAAAGAGCTATAAATATTCTGATATGAAACATACCTTTGTGTATCATGACATTTTCTTCAATATTTTGTTGTTGTTTTGGTCTCCTTTGTTTCTATGTATTTTCATATCTTCCCAACATTGCTGAAGTTTTTGTCACTTTACAACAAATATCAAAGAAAAGAAAAACATTTGCAGCCACAAAAAAAAGGCTGTTAATATTGACAATGATTGTCATATATTGTAAAAACAATAATTAAGAGACAGTTTCATGGCAAAAGATGTGTGCTATGTTTTTGTTATTACTCAAAGCTTGTTGATCCCAAGTTATGATGTGAGTAATAAAGGTTAACATTTTAAAGGTTACTGATTGAACGGTCATATACTTCTGGTTTTAATTTTAATGGTCATTCACTTTAAGACTTAGTTTGATTTCATCCCTTTTAAGATTGAAAACACGATTGTCAAACAAGAAATAAAAGCTGTTAAAATTCAACAGCTTATGTGTTTATTCAGAAAAGAACTTGTTGATTTTCTTTGCATATTTAAATGTAAATTAACTTTGAAAGGATGAATTTATAATTCAATTTTGCTCTACTTACTCATTAAAACTAGGTTTAGAAATAAAGTAGAAAATTGATAAACAATTTGTTAACCTTAAGTAAGAATATCCTTTTTTTCTTTTTTTTATATTTTATTTCAGAAGGTATGCTCAGAATAAAATAATGCTACATAGAATAACATTATAAAACTTCAATATGATAACAAGCACTATAGTCAAAATAGAAAATGGCAAAATGAAGTGGACATTTATATATTCACTACAGTTTTCCAATTTTATGAATATTGATTTTTTTTTTGGCTTCTGATAGTGACATTAATGTGAATCAGTGACAGCTATAGATAGTTGTTAAACAAATGAGTAACTATCTGATAACAGATGAAACTAAGCAAAAAACTTAATTTAAGGGATGTTACCTGAGTGGTAATGTGAGCAGCAAGAGATATCCGTAGGTCAAAACTTGCATTAGATTGCACCTTTAGGAGTAAACTTTGCAACAACTACTATCAATAGGTGGAACTTTTGAGAATAACACTCTGGCATAAAGGTAAATCAGGGAGTTACATTTTGACACCAGAAAATATTCTTGGGAGTAAAACTAGCAGCTGATAAAACTATTGGTAGTTAAACTAGCAACTGATAAAACCCTTGGGAGTTAAACTGGTAGTATATTGCACTCCATAAGGGAATACCAAGAGGTTATCCATGGTAATAACACTCTGGAGAATGAAAAAAAATAGAGAGTAACACTGGCAACAGGAGATATCTTGGGGATTAACACTGGCAACAAGAGATATCTTGTAGATTAACACTGGCAACAGGAAATACATTGGAGATTAAGACTGGCAACAGGAAATACCTTGGAGATTAACACTGGCAACAGGAGATACCTTGGAGATTAAAACTGGCAACATGAGATACCTTAAGGGTTAACACTGATCAGGAGATACCTTAGGGGTAAACACGGACAACAGAAGATACCTTGGGGATTAACACTGGCAGTGGGAGATACTTTGGGGAGTAACACTGACAACAGGAGACACTTTGAGGATTAACACTTGCAACATGAGATGCCTTAGGGGTTAAAACTGACAACAGGAAGAACCTTGGAGATAAACACTAGTAACGGGAGATACCTTGGGGTTAACAATGACAACAGGAGATACCTTGGAGATTAACACTGGCAGCAGGAGATACCTTGAAGATTAACACTGGTAACAGGAGATACTTTAGGGAGTAACACTTGCAACATAGGTTACTCTGGCAAGTAAAATTGGTGATGTATTACACCTTTGGGGGTAATCTGACAGAAGAGACTCCCAAGAATACCACACTGACAGCAAATAATAGCATAGGGAGTAAATGATGGTATCCTAGGAAGTAATACAATAACAGTAAATTATACCTCAGGGAGTTACATGCTGACACCTGAAAATGCAGAAACCAGCTCCTCTTGTGCTGTCCAGTGTAGTTTTGAATCGCTTACAGATGGCTTTGCTATTTACACTCACAGTTTTGTTCCTAATACAAGGAAAAAGATAGCTGGCTGTTATTGATGGTTTTACTGTATATCGGCATTAGTTATGAATAGAATTAATAAAATAAAATATGGAAAGTTGAGTCAGTTTATGGTTTAATCAGTAATGTATAATTAAGTATGATATTGATTTAAGAATAAAATGCTACAATTCGTATTTGTCAATTTTGTTCTGATATTACGTGACATGGTTGGAATTCATATAGGTCCATCTAACTGTTGTGATTAAGTCTATAGAATTGCTATTTGGAATAAATCAGATTCCCATCATATATCCATGTAGTCTGGATATTGACTGGTACTTAATGGATTATCCACTACAACACTAACATTACATGTTAGGAATACATTTTTATATAAATATTCATAATAATGGTAAGGTGTATAGTAAATTACTTCTATGTCTCTGCTGTTCAAGTTATCAGCATAAGGATACATGGGGTTTCAAATGTTAGAGAATGTACGAAGGACAGTTGGTGGAATGTTTCAAATGGATTGATAGTTTTATAGTTTTATAGTCGAGGTAGACATATACATTAGATGATATGTCTGTAGTCATTTATTTTCCTTCAACATTGAACAGATTTCTTGATTGTAGTTTTGTGAAATGTTGTTATGGTTGTATACTTTTTTACATTGCTACTTGATACTATATTTGCAAGGGGATGAGCTACTACATTGTCCTTTGATGTAAACCTTTTATTTTATTTCAGCCTCAGTCATACAGATTCAACAAATCCTTTTGGCAGATTAGCATTAGCCAGAAGACGTGGTGATGATCATCAGTTAAAGAGTTGCATCCTGTCTCTAGGTAGATGTCTGCAAAGGCTGATCACTTCTGTAAAATACAATGATAACAAAGTCACAGAGTCCATTCAACGTATGCTTGAACTTTTACAAGAATTGGCACTGAGAGATGAGGTAAGTTCTGTCATGTAGGAAGCAGGAAAAAAGAAATAATTTGCTATAATGTATAATGGGTCTTTGACTCTACATTTGATGAAGATTGAGTCTTGACCTTCCAGCACTACAGTCCTCTGGAATAGTACAATACTTTTATGCTGATAAGTAATAATTTGGTAACTATGACTTAAATTTTACATTCAAATGGCACTGTGTTTGGAAACATCTTTTAAATATAGTTGGTATGTTGTCACTTTAGGGACAAGCTGTACAGTCTGAGGTAATATTTGGTTTTCAGTGGCATACATTCTGGCTTGAGGAATTTTATTGGTAAAACTGGTTTGTGTTCTGGTCATTTTTCTGAAATGTGGAAAATGGAAAATAACTTGTTTGTTATAAAATTGAGAATGGAAACGGGGAATGTGTCAAAGAGACAACAACCTGACCAAAGAGCAGAAAACAGCCCAAGACCACCAATGGGTCTTCAACACAGCGAGAAAGTAATGCACCTGGAGGTAGGCTTCAGCTGGCCCCTAAACAAAAATGTGTATTAGTTAAGAGAAAATGGACATCACACTAAACTCCGAAACATATAAATGAACCAAAATTAAAAAAACATACAAGACTAACAAAGGCCAGAGGTTCCTGACTTATGACAGGCACAAAAATGTGGCAGGGTTAAACATGTTTTGGAGATCTCAACCCTCCCCCTATACCTCTAGCCAATGTAGAATAAAGAAACACACAGCAATACGCACAGTAAAACTCAGTTTAAAAGAAGTCTGAGTCCGATGTTAGAATAGGTAACAGAAGAAACTAAGCAAAATGACAATGATAACATAAATTAACAAAGGACTATTAGCAGTTACTGACATGCCAGCTCCAGACCTCAATTTAACTGATTGAAAGATGTAGCTTTATAGTAAAAATTTTGTTGATTAATGCAGAAAAAAAGACATGTCCAATATGAATGTAAAGTTTTCTTTGGTTATGTAAGACAAATTATAGTAGTTTTTTACTGTCATAAACTGACATGCATCTTATCCCCTCCTGAATTAAACTATACAGCATCTTTTCCCTCCTGACTTAAACTAAACCCGGAGCAGTTGTGATCATCAGGTTTAGTACTCATTATAAATGACAGCTTTTCCGAGTTATTAGCTTAAATCATGTACAGGTTGATCAACTGTGTCAACTACAAAAAGATTACTTAAAATGCAGCATTTGGTTAAAAAAGTCTAAGATCAGCAAAAAATAAAACAATATCACTGTTTAATTTAATTTTTGTAGACAAAATAATTTCCCAATAGGTTTGTTTTCAAATATATTAAAGAACAAAACAAATGATTTCTTTTCTTTTCCTGGTATATAAAAATTGATTTATTACATTTCAGTTAGAAGTCTTACAGACAGTGCAAGCATTAGAATCTTTAGTGGCATTAAGTCATAAGGTAAGAAGATTTCTTAAAAGTACAGGAATTGCATAACTGGGTTAAATTCTTTATAGAAGTCTATAAAAAAGACCAACCAGCAAATTTAATATGTACTGGATTGTCTAGAATAGGTGATACTGCACAGATAAGGAAAACAAAATTATAAAAGTCGTTAAGATTTGCACAACCCTACTAATATAGGATGGTAATATATGAAGAGAAGATGATGTTGTAAAATGGTATTGACAAATTGTATACAATTTTGTAACATCTTCTTCATATATTACCATCTTATATTAGTAGCATTGCACAAATCTTAAGATTAATATATATATATATATTTAATATTTGACCATGATATAGTAGCAAATGCAGTTTACCGGATATTGCTCTATGTTACATGAAGGTAAAAAAATCAGATATTCGTTGTTTCTGATCAGACATAGAGAAAACATGCCTTAAATGGGTGACCTTTATGCCTGCCAACTTACAACAATTCAGAATGTATAAATATAGACTACAACTTTGTGTAAATCTGTTTGCTTCAGATATCAACTCCTGAGACACAATTTATGCATTAGATGTTGACTGCAAGAGCAATAATTCTCTCTAAATGTTGATTTAATTTTCTGTATTAGTGTAATTCTACTGGTGAAGCAGTGATAGATTCAGATTGAATTATATTTCTGGTACAACAATGTCCTAATGTCATGATAGCAGACACCGCTAAGTGCAGTTTTATTTTCTCATCCAAATGTTGTGACAATGGTCTTATTCAGAGACTTTATATCAGATAAATTAATTGTAATTAGAGAATTGGCAGTTTGTTTCATGTGGTAATAGGATGAGAAATCCTAAGAATTTATGATGAATTTGTAGAAAACTGATTAAAAAAATATCTATATAAGAAAGATCTAGGTTAGTGTGACATTAGGTTTTATGTCAGTGATAATTACAAATTTTGTTTAAATCGAGTTTAACTGCTTATGCTAATCTTATTTTTGCTGTTATTTCTTCTATATACCTTTTGCAATTCAACTGAATGAATTATAGGGGGAGATAGGATTAATTCTCAGTTAAGTAGTAAACCTGCCACATGTTTTTTTCATCCTTTACCTATTTTTTTGTTGGTTTCAGATTCATTGATAGTTTTTGTAAAATTCATTCACAACTTTAAAAAAGCTTGGCAATTTAGAACTTTATGTATCCTATGGCACCTGTCTGTTGTTGAAAACCATATATTAAATGAATAAAAGGAAATGTGCAATAAATGAGACAGTAGTCTGTAGACAAAAAAACATATTAAGGTCATTATATACACATATATGAGACAGCAATCCGTAGACAAAAAAAACTTGTTAAGGTCATTATATACACATATATGAGACAGCATTACATGTTTTTTTTTTTTATGGTCCCGCAACAAAGTTGTCGGGGCCATATAGTTTTACCATTGTCCATCATTTTGTCATTCCGTCATTCCTCAACAAACCATTATACAGACTTTTTTTCTAACGCCTTCAGATATTGGGCTGATTTTTGGTATGTGAGTTAACCATGATGAGTTACAGATCAAGTTAAAGTTTCTTTCCTCTCTGCTAATTTTTGCCGAAATTACGGGCTTTGGACTTTGATAAATTGTTGAAAACCGCAGTTATAAGGACTTTTTTTCTAAACGTCTTCAGATATTGGGCTGATTTTTGGTATGTGAGTTAACCATAATGAGTTACAGATCCAGTTTAAGTTTCGTTCTGCTCTGCTAATTTTTGCTGAAATTACGGGCTTTGGACTTTGATAAATTGTTGAAAATCACAGTTATACATATTTTTGTCTAAACGCCTTTAGATATTGGGCTGATTTTTGGTATGTGAGATAACCATGATGAGTTACAGATCAGTTTAGGTTTCGTTCTGCTCTGCTGATTTTTGCCGTAATTACGGGTTTTGACCTTTTGGTATGTGAGTTAACCATGATGAGTTATAGTTCAAGGTTAAGTTTCGTTCCCCACTGCTAATTTTTGTCGAAATTACGGGCTTTGGACTTTGATAAATGGTTGAAAATCACAGTTATACAGATTTTTTTCCTATACACCTTCAGATTTTGCGCTGATTTTTGATATGTGAGTCTACAATGATGAGTTGCAGATCAAGTTAATGTTTCGTTCTGATATGCTGATTTTCATGTCGTTTCAACACATCTTCAGTACATCCACTTCCTGTTTGCTGATAGTTTGAAATTTAACTACTCATTGATCAAGGAAATTTTTCAACAAACTAGTATTGGTCTTCAGAGCTGGATACTATCCATGCATGTTTGTGTCCACATGTGTTGTTGAAATTGCAGATTTTTCAACTTTTTCAGACGGGGCCATTTGTGTCGTTCCGACACATCTAGTTTGTCTATGTATTGCTGTCTTATATACTGCAACTTTTATTCATAGCTTTAACATAAACGTCACATGAATCAGTGTTGAAATGTTAAACTTAACAGATTTTGAACAGTGTGTTTTTTTCTATTATTTAGTTTAACATTCTTTTTGTATACTTTTTCCACAGTAGTCCATTACCATATTAATACGTAAAATATAATTAACATTCAGTGGAAAAATTTCCCAATCATTACAGATACATGCTGTTTAATCTTCACATCAAATATTTCAGAATTTGTTTTTAAGTAACTAATATTTTGAGATATTTTTTTATGTGATTTTAGTCTTTTGGGAATAGAAAATTAGTTTATTTAGATGTCAATGATAGGATTGGTAACAGTTTATGGAAGACTTTTTACATTAAAAACGTTCTGTCATATGGGAATATTTGTAGCTAAATGTAATAGAACCATAAAATCTAAACATTTTCTTGAATGTTGTAATTCATAATGGATGATTTTTTTTAGCTCACCTGGACCATAAGGCTAGTGTGAGCAATTGCTGTTACTTGACACCCGCCATTGATTGGTATCTTTTCATAATTTAACCTTTTTTCAACTGCCTCTCTGGACCAAACTCAGCAGTATTGCACTTGTGTCATTGCTTCCTGTTTTTTTCTTATTTTAACTTCCAAAACAATATATTCGGATTGGGTAACATGTCTTTCTGTCTAGTCTTTAATTTCATGAACATATCCTGAAATTTTTTAAATTGTATTTGCTGAATATAAGCCTTCAGTGAGTTTTCTGTTCTAGAGGTTGGTAATTATGACAGCAATGTTAAAGGATAGAAAAGCAGTAAAAGAAGAAATTTTAAATATTGCAGCATGTTTATGGAATTTTGGAGAATCAGAAAGCACTATATTCTGCTTGCAAAGGATCCATTAACATTGTTTATTAAATGCATCCACTTTAAAATATCTTCCAAATATAGTTGCAGATCTTGTTACATATTTACAAACTTCATATATTCTCTTACCATGCATAATTTCCTGTTGGGATCAAACCTCTGGAAAATAATCTGTCAAATTCAGGAATGAGACATTTGGGAATGAAAACTTTAATTTAATGTTACGCTGTAACCTAGTGCAAAACAGCGATATAAAAAAGCATGATGATAGAAGATGTTATATTCCGGATTGATCGTCAGAAATGAATGAGCATCATGGGATATTTGTCTGTGTCTGGGCATTTCATAAAATAATTGATTGTTCTGTAGAGAATGACTTTTAGGGACATAATTAAAATAAACCTGAAGGAGACAGTATAATAAGTATGGGAATCACTTTGTAGAAAGTGATTTTAAACTAGATTGGTCTTTAGATGACACCCACTGTTATTGATAAATTTACATAGTCATTTCACACATTTAAAAAATGTTTTTTACAAGAATTTTATTTCTTAAAAAAATTATTTCTATAAATTTTCTTCAGAGAAAAAGTTCACAGATTTGGATATTGTTTTTTATCACTCCTGCTGTATGACTGTATCCATCAAATCTTGATCAAACTTGGTATGCTTGGTCATAGCTTCCATGAACAATAGATAAAACACCTAAATATGATTCCAACAATAATTGTCAGTGGTGGACAGGCATAGCATAATTTTTTTGTTTTGTCTTTTAGATTCAGTAAACATTCAACTTTCCTTAGTCAGAACTAACTCTCTTGTATCAGAAATATAGCTTGTTTGTTGCTTCTAGTATTATACTGTTTAGATTTGTGATAGAGCCTGAACTTTATTTATAGCCATGTTTACTGAATCAAATGTTATTAGTTACTTGTCTCATTGGCAATACTACCACCTCCCCTTTTTTATAGTGATCATTGTGTCCATGAATTTGATTTAGTTTACCTCTTATATTGTTTGTTACTCCTATTTTTGTATCCATAACTCCTCGTAAGCCAGTTCCCTTCATTTCAATGAAGCTTTTAGAGCTTTTTAGAAGCTTTCTAGAATTAAATGGCATTATTGAGCCAGCCTTTGCTCTGTGTCATCATTCCAGATTTTAAGATGTATATGATTTTTTTCTTACATAATCCTTATCTGTGGCTTGTACTTTATAAAGAAACAAAATATTTTGTTTGTCTGGAAGTAAAGTACTTAAAGATACCTACACAATTCTGTGTAGATCCCTATTAGATTCATTTTGTTGATTGCCATGTAAGCATTACTGGTTCTTATAAGGAACCTTCTAGTCCTACATTGAATACAAAAACTGGGAGAAAGATTTGTCAGCAATGATATAAGAATAAATCAATGTTGATAAATTATATTTCAGCATTGATTCATTGTAGAAGAGCTTTTATAGATGTATAATTGATTTGAAAAACATTGTCTCAAGAAAGTCAGTCTTGTGTAACAAAAATTGTCTTTGTTCTTAGTCCTTATCCATTCATCTTTGCTTCTCAAGTTAGAGATTTTCTTTTTGCTTATTGATCCTACTGCAAAAGAAAAGGAAGAAGCTAGCTTGAGTACTTCGTATAAATTTTTAATATAGTTAAGGTGGGTGAATTGAAGACTTAATTAACGAAATTGAACAATACCAATTATGCTGAACAAAATGTACCAGTAATAGTTTCTATAAAAAA